AGGAGGAGAGGATATATGGGGGGGGGGGGACCGCGAAGCACGAGGAGGCAAGAGGCGAAAGCTGCCCGTCGCCTCAGGAAAGGTAGGTATGAATGGCCTGGATGAGGTGACGCGCGTCCTGCACGAAGTCCACCGGCCGCACGGCGATCAGGTGGTGGCGAATGGTGACCTCCTCCTTGTAGATCTCGGCCCGGCTGCGAATCCGCGCCACCAGAGGCCGAGAGAAAGAGACCCGCTCGTGCGCGGCCAATGCGGCCGGCACCAAATCCTGCAGGTCCTCCGCGGTCAGGTCCAAAATTTGCTGCGCCTGCTCGGGCAGAAGACCATCCAGTTTGGTGGTGCTGCGGAGGAGGGCCACAGCCGGATGTTCGACAGCGGGGGAGCCGGAATCCGCATGTTCGGTCTTGACATCGGCACCGGGGCCCGACTCGGAGCCCGGCCCGGGCTTGGGATCGGCCTTGAGATCGGCCTCGAGATTGGCCTCGAGATTGGCCTCGAAGGCGGCCTCGAGATCGGCCTCGAAATCCGCCTCGGGATCGATGGCGGCCACGGTCGGGGTCGAGCGCCGGTCGCGCATGCCAACATTCGGCCCGAAGCGAAGGTTGAAGTACTCCTCGGCCGTCATGCCCATGATGGGCTCGGCCTGAGCGGCGAAGGCTTCGTCGGAGAGATGGACCAGAGTCACGGGTTAGTGGCGGTTGCCAAAGGAGAGAAAGCCAGCCGGCAGGAAGGCAGGACAGGGGGAGATGGGACAGTGATTGGGAGAGGGCAGAGTCCGAGGGGCAGGAGGAGCAGGAGGAGCAGGGGGAGCAGGAGGAGCAGGGGGAGCAGGGGGAGCAGGGGGCCAGGGGCGAAAAACAGTCATCCCGAATACCCTGACCGTACCATTGACGAAAATGTTGCCCGAGGCGTCGGCCATCCGGAGGCGGATAATGAACCGGTGCTCGAAGGTGTCCAGCAGGGCACCCGTCCGAGCGCTGGACCATTGGATGCTGCCGGTGGTCGCCCCGAGAACTGGCCGCACCTTGTTGCCATTCTCATCGGCAGGATACGTGAGGGGGGCCTGAATCATCAGGCGCACCGGGGTGAGGCAAATCGTGGAGAAGATCGCCGGGTCGCCGGGCTTCAAGTTTTGAAGCTGCGTGGCGGGGAAGGGAGGGGGGGGGGAGTGGTGGAGGGGCGAAGGAATGTATGAGTGTCTGCCCAGAGGGAGAGGGAGCAAGGAGGGGCGGGACCGGGGTTGCGGAGATGGCCACGAATTTAGGCAGGGGCTGACCTTCTGTTGGATCTGGCCCAGGTAGATGGGGTTTGTCAATTGCCGGGCGTCACCGCCACCTGGCCCGAAGGAGGAGCTCCCTTCGCCGGAGGAGGCCGCGGCCGCGGCATCCCGCAGCGAGGAGATATTCCGAAGTTGCCGCGCGCCAGCGGGGCCGCCAAGATCCTCAAGGAACCAGCGAGCCAGCGGTTCGGTATGCGCGTCGGCACCCATGCGGAAGAGACGCGTCGAGTGCTGCATCGAGGACAGCGAATAGGTCCCCTGGTATTCCACCAGTCGAAGGGAGCGCACACCGAGGACCGACCCGACGCCAAGAGGTCGGCTGAAGGTGGAGGCCACGTCCTCGGCCAGTGGGGGCTCCGCCACGGGCTGGTGCATGCGGACGACCTCCGAGGGATCGGCCACGCCGTGCGGGACGTCGCCGATGATGCGGGAAAGCTCGAGCGCATGGTCGCGCCAGAAGGTAACCGCACAGGAAACCCCGGACGGATCGGCCACTTGCACCATGCGCCGGAGGACCATTTCACCGTTGGCCATCACAGCTACCGGGGGCCGGATGTCCGTGATCACGGCGAGAAGGTCTGGGTGTTTGGGCCGGGTTAGGAGAGCAGTCAGGGGACGGCGGCTGGGAGGAGGGGGGAAGAGGGGGGGGGGCGATCTGCTCGAGCGGCGAAAAAGAGTGCAGGCGAGGAGGGGGAGCGAGGAGAGGGACATCCTGCATGGCAGGCGCACCGACGATGTGGCCGGTGCCAAAGCCAGAGAGGGCATTGATGGGGGTCCAGACTCGCTCGGCAAACACCTGGGCTGTGGTGGGCCCGGCAATGTGGGTATCCGAGCCGGGTGGCCCATCAACCGGGTCGCACGGGTCGATCAGGGCCCGGCTGTCCAGGCGGATCTCATACCGGCTTTCGGTGCCGATGATGGGCCGGGCGAGTCGCGGGACTTGGACCATCCCGCGGGACAGGATGACCGACTGGCCCACAACAAGCTGCTTTGAGATGGTCTCTGCCACATCATTGAAGGCGGCCACACGAATTGAGCCCTAGATGAAGGGGGGGGGGAACCGAGGAGGGCATGTGGGTGCGGGCGTGTGGGTGGGGGCATGGAGACATTGGTTAAATGCACAGGCCCGGCGGGGCGCCAGGGAGGGGGGAGGAGGGGGGGGGGGGGGGGCGGGAGACAGGGCGAGCGCGGTCGCACCGAGGCATCGGCCACCTCGGCGGAGAAAACAAACCCACTGCCACGGTCATTGCTGAAGGAGCGCAGCGGATCGACGGCCATCACGCGCACGCGAATGGTCCACTGCCGGAGGTACGGATTGAGCGACATGACGGGCACATCGGCCGGTAGCTTGGAATCAGCCTGGCCAGGAGAGCGAACGGACATGGCGGAAAGCCGGCGGGAGGGGGTCTCCGGGGCGCGGCCCGGCGTTGGGGCGAGCGGCGGGGCCGAGGTGGAGGGGGTTGCCGCTGGCTGATCAGCACTTCCTGGCGAGGGCAGGAACTTCAGCGGGTTGCCGAGGATCGGCTGGTGGCCGATGATGTCGATGCCCTGGACAAGGAGAAAGCGCGAGAGGCTGACACGGGGACATTAGGCCGGGGCGTTCCGGGGCATGGAGGCGAGGAGCCGGAAAGGGGGGGAGGGGTGGACGCACGACTTGGGCTGCGTCATGACCGAATGGTTGGTGACACAGATGACCGACCCCTCTTGCAGGAGCCCGCCCTTGAGAGGGGCCGATCCGGCCCCGGGGGAGCCGCTGAACATGTGGTTCAGGGACGAGACAAACACCGCCGGGAAGGAGTGAAAGCCGTCGGAGAGTTGGGCGCTGTGGATGCGTTTTTTTTCCGGGGGGGGGGGGGGAGGGGCATAAGTACGGCAGAGGCGGATGGATGGGCATGTGTGTGGTTGGATGTGTGGGCGGGCACAGATGTGCATGGCGTTGGCCGTGGAAAGGGGGAGGGCAGGGTTTCTTTTTTCCCCCCCCCCGGCTGTTGGCGCACATTCGCAGTCCCGAGGGGCCGGGCGCCTTGAAGGACACAAGTTGAAGGGTGGGGCGTTCCTGCAGGGCCGCGGCGGCCGCGTCCACATCGGAGCCATCTATTCCGCCGAAGGCGCGCTCGCAGAAGCCATTTGACAGGGCAGGCCGAGACGCCATGATGCGAGAGGGGCACGAGCGAGGGGGAGGGGGGAGGGAGAGACAGGGAAAAAGGCGAGGGAGGGGGGAAGGGGGGAGGCGCAGGGGAGGAGGGAGGCGGAGAGGTGCCTTGCCGCGGGTGTCGATCACTCGCCGTGGTCCGGGAAAAACGCCTTTCCCGGGCATGGGGCCGCCCGATCCCCGGCAGAGGGGCCGCAGGGAACGGGGGGGGGGGGGGGGCACCGGGCGCGGGGCCGGTCCTGGTCGGGGATTTTTAAAAAAGCGTTACTGGCTCCCGGCGCCACCATCGGTCAGGCACGTGGGCGTATCACGCGCTCACGGTGATCGGATCGGCTCAAGAGCAGCGTTGGTCCGAGCGTGCTGGCATTGACGCAAGTGGCCATCGAGACCCCCCCCCCTCCCGTTCCTCCCCCGCCCCTTTTTCCCTCTCCCTCCTTTGTGTTCCTTTCTCCTCCCCCCCCCCACCTCTTCGGTCTTTTCCTCCCTCTCCACATCGATATCCCCGGTTAATCGCCGAGTCCGGGACCCGTTTGTCCCTGTGCCCCTCCTGTTCGATCAGCTATGAAGGCATTGAACCCCGCTGATCGCGAGCGTGCGTTTCCCTGTGCCATTCAATCCTCCCGGTTGTGTGCGAACCCCGGCTTAACATGTTGCCCCCTCTGCACCCGCTCGCGCGTCAAACACGTGCGGAATGATCTCCCCCTCCCCTTGCCCCACACCCAGGCAAGCGGCAGGCCGACCGAGAGAAGGCCAAGGTGCGCATCTCCCAGCGACTCTCGTGCACCATCTCTCCGCCGGGCGCCCTTTGACTGACATTCCTTCCCGCCGCCTTTGCCCTTTGCCCGTCTCCCGGCGTGGCTGCCCGGTGACGCTGGTCCCAGAATCGCGACCGTCGTAAGAAGGATGCCGTCATCAAGAAGCATCGTGACGAGGTGCAGGATCTCCGGCGTGAGATTGAGCTCTGGCAGCGGAACAACAAGAGCAGCCCCAATTATGAGGAGCATCTGCGCACCCTGCGACTGCAACTGCACGAGCTCGTAGATGCCAAGAAGAAGGAGGGTATTGATCTGGACCGTTTGTACGTGGTGCATCGCCCGGGCACTCGCACGGGGGCTTCCCCTGCCCGTCAGCCTCTTCGTCTGGTGCTCGTGCATGTTCCTGACTCCCCCCCCCTTCCCTCTTCCAGTGGAAATCACATCTCCGCGGTCAAGATCAACTGGACGCACAAGACCGACTCGTCGATCCTCAATGCGCAGGAGGCCCAGCGCGCTCGCCGGCACCAGGCCCATGGTACGCCTTCCCGCCTTCCCCTCCTCCCCTCCCCCTTCGCTTTCCCGGCTGTTCGATGTTCCATCTTCTCCTCATGGCCGCGGCCATCTGACCCGGCGCGCCCTCTCGCTCTCCCTCTCTCGCCACACGCTTGGTTCAGCTCGCGGCGTCGAGACCATCAGCGCCTGGGCAGACGATGCGTCGCAGCTGGACCGGTCATCCTCCGATTCGGACAATGACGGTGGGGAGGAGGACCTGCCGCCGATGCCTTCCATGCCGCCTGACAACGGGGAGGACGACCTGCCGCCGATGCCTGCCGGGCCGGCGCTTCCCCATGGCGCCGGCTTGGCGCCACCCAATCTGCCGGGGTTCCCTCCTCCCTCGGGCCCGGGGATGGCCGGTATGCCGCCGCCGCCGCCGCCGCAAATGCCTCCCTGGAATCCGGCCCTGCCGTATGGCCTGGCGCCGGCCGGCGGTGGTCCCCTGCCGCCGCCCTTCCCGCCCTTCCCTCCGGCCGGCCCCCCGCCCATGGCCGCCGGCGGGCCGCCAGTTCCGCAAATGCCCCCCCCTGGCGTGGGAGGAGGCTACTACCAGCCGCCGATGTCGGGCCCCCCTGCGCCGGTGGCGATGGCCCCGCTGCCACTGCCCGTCCCGGCGCCCGGTTCGTCTGTGGCAGCGGCGCCCCTGCGCGTGCCTCCTCGGCCCGGGTCCGCCCCATCGGTTGTTGCCTCTTCGGCCCCCGTGCCAAAGGCCCGGACGCAAGTTACCGGCCTCGTCCCGGCAAATGTGATGGCCATGCGCCGCGCAGGCGGCGTTGTCCCCCCGGCCAAGAGAGTGCGTGTTTGTGTGCATCCCTCCCAGGGATGGTGCTCGCTCTATCTCTTTCCCTCCCGCCCTGCCGCCCCTCTTTTCACACGCACGCACATACATGTGCACACTTTCCCCCCCCCCCTTCTCCCCGTGCTACGAGCTGACACAATCCCCACCCCGCCGCCAGACCGCCGCACAGAAGGCCATGATTGCCAACCTGAAGACGACGATGGCCCGGCAGGCGCCAGCGCCCAGCCCGACGGCAAGTGCTCAGCCGACCGACACCGACGCCACGGCCAAGCCGACCACCGTGTCCCAGGAGGATGAGGCCACCTACGAGGACTTCATGGCCGAGATGGCCGGGTTAATCTGACGCGCCGATATGCGCGGCCAGCACCTGCTCCTGTCTCTGGCCAGCGCCCGCCGCCGGGAGGCTTTCCTGGTGCGAAGACTGGCCATCTCCCTTCCGAACAAAAACGTGCAAATAGACAAAAAAAATCTACTCTATGTTCATGCGCAGGCGCATGGTCTGTGTGTGCGTGCGCGCGTGTACGCGACAGTCGGAGGGCGGTCGAGGAAAAGGACTTGATCTTTCGCCCCCCCCTCCCCCCGCCCGGGGAAGGCTCACATACGGTGCCGTGGCGAAAGCTCCATCGACTCGCGGTCGAAGTCGTCGAGATCGCGCTCCGGGTCAAAGCCCCCCCCATGGAGCATGGAGGACTGCGTGGCGTTGTCATCGCCCTGAGAGGCGGATTGGTGGTGCGGGTGGTGGCCAGGGGGGTGATGCTGGGGATATTGGTGTTGGTGTGGGTGGTGTTGGTGTTGGTGGTGCTGGTGGGGGTGGGGGTGGGGGTGGTGCTGGTCATCCGGATGCTGGGGCTGCTGCTCGGGGGCTTGTCCAGGGAAGTCGAACTCAAAAAGAAAGTGCGCAGGGGTTTGGCTGTCCAGCAAGTCCTCGTCCTGGAAGTTGAGATGGCCCGGGGGGTCGGGCTCGACATCTGCCGAGGGGGCTGCCTGGCCGGCGGAAGCCCCCCGGCCGTCGAAGGTATCCAAGTCGCCATCCTCGTCAAGATCCGAGTCAAAGGGAAAGACCGCCTGTCCCGGGCCGTGTGACGAGGAGGCCGTGCGAGTCTGAAGAGTGAGCGAGCCGGCGCGCGGCGCGGCCGCCGAAATGGCGTATGCATGTGTCGAGAACAGGTGGGCCTTGTCCTCGTCGCCGATGAGCTGGAGTTCCAAGTACCAAGCGGGGCGGGGGGGGGG